GAGAAAGATGACACTATAATGGTTGGTAAAAAATGTACATGGTTATAAGAGCCCATCAACCAGTTGAGTGGTCTGAGACCTCCCCCCTCATACGTTTATAGTTGTGAGGATACTCATTGGTATAATGCATTTCCTAGCCCCTCACCCTAACTCTTAACATAAAGCGAACCCTAAAACCAAGTCTTAACCCTCAAACAGCCCATTGAGTTTGTGAGGACGAGCCAAAATGTCCCCACAATGATGGTATTAAACTAAAATTGTACCTCATAACTATAGACAGACATTCCCACACACACACACACACACATATGTAATAAGTATGTATTGCGTGGTTGTGGTGAATATTTATCCATTTATATACATGTCAATGTAAATGCTTACATTTATGTGGAACGTTTCTAGTCTTGACCAATCAAAGTGCTTTACAGTACAGTTTTGCCACTCACCCATTGACACATCCACACACACACTCATGCTTTGCATCTTTGTGCAGCTTTCTCGATCACCTATCACTCGCAAACTAGACGCACAGCGACAGCGGTCAGGGGCAAAATGGGGAAATAAGGCAAAATAAGGTGACCGGACTGCTGACCTTCTGGTTAGTGGACAACTCGCCTGAGCCGCAGGTGCCCATGTGTGGTGCACACTCTTGAGTTCAGTGTCAGTCACGTGGACAAAGCATGGAGGGAGGCATTAAGGTCTCGTAAACTTCTTACAGTTAAGACGTTTAAATCCCAGGTCGTGTGGTGCCTGCTAAATAAAGCAACTGTCACTGCACTGTCCACTGGAGTTTCAGCAATAACATGAACAAAATGTGTTTCTTAAGTTACATCATATACATTTGAATGGGATCATCATGGCTGAGCCCACATCTCATTAATGTCTCTGTTTTCTGTCGGTCAGATTTTAAACAGGGGGTCACGTACAGTGAGCGTGCTGCTGCTGCTGGATTGGAGCAGTTGATCTGTGTACAAGGGTGGAGGTCAGTGGACTTTGTTATGTCCCCGCCCTGCATGTCAGACTTAAAGTGAGATCATTTATTTGGTGTTACCAATGCAGTCAGAAGACAGTGTCATGCTGCATATTTTGGCCAATGAAATGACATTTGGCAACTTTAATATCCCCTAAAAAACGAAAGACGTTTATTTATTTTATGTCTACATTTGCACCGTCCCTTATTAAAGGGTTTTCACAGGCTTGTGTTCTCACTTTGTGCATTTGCTTATTTCACTGCAGATGTGTGAATCGTTATTATTCACTGTAAACATTTAATGTAAGGAAGAAACCACACCGAGAAGCTGTGGCACAACACAGTCATTTACATCACCCCATAAAACTATTTCATTAAAATAAAATCTTGTAAAGAGAGCTGACCGCTCCACCAAAACTAAATGTGAATATTTATGTTATTTTTTATGACCATTGTAAATCAGCCCCATATGTTTGTAACTTTCTCTGAGAGCTTGTTTTGAGGAAGAACAGCTTTAGCAGAACTTCTACTTGCCAGACAGTCTGAGATCTGGTTTAGTGACGTCACGGTCAACAGGCAGCTAAAGCACTGACAGACTGGGACCTCAGAAGAAGTTTGACGCAGGCTTCTGATGTCAAATTCATTTATATAATCATTGTGTCCTGTTTTAAATGCTGGAATTCTTCAAAATTATCAAATAATAAAATCAGAAACAAGTTTAATCATCAACTTAGCTGACAAGCTGGACATATCTACTGTATCTGTAATCAGTGAATCCCCCAAAAACCTCCTCTCCCCCTGCCTCTGCTCCATTTCAGAGTCCAGTATGTAGTGCTAACAGCAGGGTGCTCCAGGTCTAAATCCCAGGACGCTTCCAGGCAGGCTAATCGCAGCAGCACATCTAGTGATGGCGACCAATCCCATTAGGTGGTGGATGGCGTAGAGTCCCTGCGTCTTTGATCTGTTGACGAGATTAACCACAGAGCCTCAGATCAACCCAGGAGGTAGGGGCTTAACACAGCATCTAGTTGGGGTGATGGGTGCAACAAGGACCACGAAAACTGAACATGCAGGACAAATCTAATTTTTATCAAGAGGCCAACTACTTGATATCAGGGTGTGGAAAGGTTTAACTAAAATGTTTCAAGATGCAGCAGTTAATCAGAAGCATTTCACTTGTTTCAACCTCTGTGAGCTGTTGCTCGTTTGTGTCGTGTTATATTCATAAATACACAAGACAGAGTTGATTCTCATGCTTTAGTTTTGTGCATCACCATCCTGATAGGTGATAAAAAAGCATATTAATAATCAAAGACCTCTGCTACATTAGTTATAAACCCTTTAAACCCAATCGTTCCTATCACAGTTAACACCTATAACTAGCGGTTGTGTTTTACAGATACATGTGAATCCTTATCTTGGTTGATGTGTGGTAGCGTTGCAGAACTACAAATCCTCTGCAGGCTCAATTACAAAAGGTTCCTACCCCCTGATGAGCTCATGTGGTTTAGTCTACAAGCTTTTCCACAAGTCTGCAAAATAAATAAGCATACTCCCACTGATGACGCATGAGGAAAACACCATAGCTATACTACCACAGCTTTCACACACAAGATGTTGTAATACCGGCTCATAATCCTATTACACAAAACACGTTGTGGCTCCATCACACAACGACCAATCACCATTTTGTTTGAGGGAACACAGTTTCATTTGGGGCAAGAAAGGAAGCAGAAACTGAAAGTTGGCACCAAATGGAAATTATGTCTCGAGTCAAAATGCATAATTTACCTGTTTCTGCCTGTTCAGTAAAATCTATAGGCTTCCCTGAGCAATGACAGTAAAAACAAGATGTACACAGACGTATCTTTGCCTCTGGAGGAAGTCTTGCATCCAAGGTCAACATATATCGTCCTATAGTTGAAGAGGGATTAACCACAGACGAGGCAATGAGTGAAAGGAAGTCAGAGTGGACACGAGCAGAATATATTCATGGATACAGTGAATCAGACTTTCCACTTATCTGTTCACACACAACCAGCAGAATGCATTGTTAAGGGAAGAACCCAATCAATGTCACTGTGGATCTGGGGCCAGATCCAGGAATGTCTTTCTTCTTTAACATTGTGAGATAGAGGTATTTTCAACACTCAGACAAAAATAAATGGATCTTGATTTTGAAAATCAGGGATTAAAGAAGATATTTACCAATTAACTTAATTGGTTTGAAAACTATTCTAACTGAATTTCACCAGGTTTGTGAGGATCACTAAAGCTTTATCATATCTTTTATCTTATCTTATTTATGCTTCAAACACTGCCAAGGCTGACAGGAACAATATATTTTTGAAATGATGGAATGTACTAGTGATAAATATTATTTTAGTTTCTGACTTTTAGTTAGAGAAGATTGTTTCCATTTCCTGTTGGATTCAAGGACAAATAAACTAATCATGTGTATCATCATTACTTTTGTATTTATAAATTGTATAAGTTATAATTATAATGCTATAATCTATATCAGCACTTACAATATTTATAACATTTCATAGAGTTTGTTGTTAGCATGTTCTTGATATCATCACCACAGAGCTGGCATGTTGTCAGATTTACAGAATGCAGTTAACAAGAGTGGTGGGCTGCTTTCAGTTTAGCTACTTCCCCATGAATACCACAAGAAGGCGCTGGCTACTCGGTAAACAAACCTTTGCACTTTGCACTTCCTCAGTAAACATCTGTTTACAGCTGCAACAAGCTGAACAACCATTCAGATAGATTTACTCTGAATTGCAAAATATGAAATAATCAATGTTTAATTTAGTGAACAGTGTTCCACCATGATACATTATATCAGTTCCTCAGATTAATAAAATCAACTTGATGTATTCATGTTTTTTGGATTTTGTTGATGAATAAATTATACTCAGCTTTGAAGTGTCGTCTCATTTCATGCATGTTTGCAAAGCTTCACTGTTGTATCTGTTTATTCATTGCATTGGTTATTAAAGCTGTCTGCCATCTGGCAACAGAATAAATGTGATGGTAAATTGTGCAGGAATAAATCCTTTATGTGTTCAGTCAGGCAGCAAATATAGACCTGAGGTGGCACATCAGCATAAGAGAAGTAAGATACGGAAAAGCAGAGGGTGAGGCAGAGGAAGAGAGAGGAAGGTCAAGCCTTTTCACATGCAGGGTACTGTTATGTTGCTGCACCATTGGATTGAGGTGGAAATGATTGTGCACATTTTTATGCCTCTGAGCCGGTGACAGTAGTGGGAATTTCTTTAAATTTGCTACAAATATTTACTTGAACTCAAGAATGAAGTGATTATTAGCTCTTAGTGTTCAAATGTCACTGCGACCTCATGACAAATGTTTTTGGCCTAAACCCAGTCATTCAAAATTCAAAATAAGAAACAGTGGTTATAGGAGACTATTTGATTAAAATATCCTTTTTCTAAAAACGACCTTAAAGTGTGTTATGGACCACTTATTATTGTGAAACTATCTTATTATATATTTACTAAATAGACATTATTATTGTTTCATTTTTATTTTCACTACTGCTGCAACTTTCCCCTCTCATATTTCCCACAGATTTGTGGTTGTCATGGCAACAGCAGAACTGCGCTGCTGTGTGTTCTTCTCCTCCTCCCTGTGTGTGTGTGTTTTCTACCCTGTATGTTTTCTCGTGTGTGTGTGTGTGTGTGTGTGTGTGTGTGTGTGTGTGTGTATACGCTGCAGGGGGGAAGCCGAGCCTCTCCATCAACACGCCCCCCCCCTCCCTCAGCCTCCATCAGTTATCCAGCTCAGGCACTGGAGTCTTTGGGAGGGGGCGGGGCTTGTTTCTCTGCAGAGGGATGCTCCCCAGCACCACGCTGGACCAAACAGCCTGGAAATCCCTGTTCAGAGGCACGTACGCACACACACACACACACACGCACATACGCACACTGCATTAACGCTGACTGCAATCAAACCCCCTCAAGCTCCCAGCATCTGTGTTGCATCCTTCCTCTCATCTTTGTCGTCTATCTTCTTTTTCTCCTCCTCTCCGGCGCTCTGTACTCTACAGTTCTGACTCACTCTAACCTTCTTTTCCCATCCGAGCCACGCTGAGCCACACTGCCTGGGAAAATGTCCTCCAACCTGCCCTCTGGGACTACAGCTGGGGCCACCGGGGCCAAGAATAAGCCCGTCTCCCCTTTCAGGAAGCGGGGCAGCCTGCAGTACACAGCCAGCACAGGTTAGTGGAGGGAGTCTGGGGCTGCACAGGATGGTTGGATTGTGAGCTCTGGTTGTAAATCTTTGGATTGTGCATCTTTGACAGAAATGTGACCTCTTGAACATCTCATTTTGAGGAGTGAGGATTGACACGCAGGGTGCATCACAATTAGTCTGCGAGTAGTTTGGGGAAAATGCAAACCTGTTGCTTGGGGCAGTGCAGCAGAGGAGGCTCTGTGCTGCTTTGTGATCCTGCAGGTTCATGTCAATCTATTTTCACACACTTGTATTTGAAAATACACACATTGTCTATCATTAGCTAGCTCCTATGTTTCCATGCTGCTGAAACGCTGCAAGACTCATATTTTGTCAGTTTTCATGTTTTAAGGTGGAGGATTACAGCTCTTCTGTGAGTTACCACCTAACTTGTGACAGTGTTTGTTGCAAATGTGGATTTTTTCCTTTATCAGACTGCGACGTGTTGCTTAGATCAATGTTATGAGTGTGTTGTTCACTCGGCCTGACGGCAGTGTATGTGGCCTGATCACAATATGTATGTTGGTACCCTCAGGACTTGATCCCCCGCTGAATGAAAGGATTAGCCTCCACTCTGATGTATGCAAACACTGATCAGCCATTCATCAAAGCTACAATGAATGTAGAATGACCATTGCACAAAACAAGCCATCGAAATACACTTCCCTCTGTTTGTTCCCTGTCATCTCCTTTTTCAAACACATTTACCCTGAAACATGGAAAGGCTCATTTTATTTAATTGTATTCTCTCACATGCAATATTTAGTCTTATTTATCATTCACGATGAGACCATTTCAACTGTTAGTTCTTTCTTTGAACATTTTAAAATTGTTTATATCTCCCCATTTCTAGATTTTTAGAATACAATCACATGGTCCACGCAGAATACACCATGTTATGTTACCAACCGGGACACATCGATGACATACGGTCATGTTACAGTGACTGCAGTGGTATAGTCGCAGAATGATTTTTCAATCCCAACAATAGCTACAGCGGCTGGAGGTCCGAGTGATTCCCCAACCCGTTCACTCCTGTTGAATGCGCACTGTGATTACCCTCATTTACAGCTCAGAGCTGACAGCGGCCATTACCTTCATTGCTCTGGAGCCTCAGACTGGAATTAATAATGATTAGTTCTGCTTTTATATTTATCTTATTGTAGATATAAAAAACACACACTGCTGTGCACAGATTCTCTTCTGGTGCCTCCAGTATTTGATTTCTAATTTAGTACTTCTTATCTTATCAACACAACATTCACATTTTATGCTGTTAAAGCGTCCAGGGAAACATCAGAGTAAGCAAAGATGACATTTATGTGACTCATCATCTTTTTTTTTTTTTTTTTAAAAAGGGCACTCAGTCTAGTTTGGGGCAGATTGTACAGTACACTGTTATATGTGTGAATAGTAATACATGCAGGGAAAATATTCTGCAGATACATGATCATTTAAGATATTGAGTTGATTGAATGATGACCTGTGGATAATCGCCAGTGTCATGTCTTTAAATGCTTAATGCATCTTTATTGAAGTGATTGTTATTCCTGTCTCTGCAGTAGCTGCTCATAACAGAACCATAAATTATGCACACTCTCACATCATGAGTCTGATTAATGATTCTCTGGACTGACAGAGCTTTAGGATTGTCTCAATAAGAAGCTTGAACTTTCTAATCTGATGAGCTCTCTGTCGATCAATCAATCAGCCCAGCAGAGAATAGATGTCATTGACTGTCTAATCATCACTAAATGAGGTTGAGTCCCTCACCGCTTGGCTTCCCTCAAAGTTTACAGCCCCCAATTACACATTACATACTGCTCATCATCTATCAGACGGCCTTCTGCTCTCTTACTGTGCGAGGAGCTGCAGCATCATGGCGTTGTCCACATTTAGCACGTTGTTGCAGGCAGTGTGGCGTGAACTCGTCGGAGGACGGCCGTGGGTGAATCACTTCTGCGCCTGTGAAAAAGAGAGTTCTGAGATTAGAGCACCACCCACTCAGCAGTTAGCCTATTCTGCGCATTGTGCTGGTTTGCTCTCGTTGAATCACTACAATAAGGTCAAATGAGAAGAACTTCATGTCGCAGGAGGTGATTATTTACTTATTAAAGTGTCATAAAAAGGCTTTATTAGATTGAGTGTCTGCACAAATACTCTCCTGGGAAACAGAGCAGGTTTTACATTGATTTGCAGATGGATGTGCAGAAATAAAACAGATTAGAAGTACTCACTACAGCACATAATATAAATACAGGTTACAAGAAAACATACATTTTTAGATCATCACATATTTATGGTAATTCAGCGGTGTGATACTTCTCCATCGCAAGTAAAAATCATGCACGTAAGACATTTTTGGCAATTTTGACATTATATACCTTTCTGTAATCCTGAAGATGTTTTCTAACCACACCAGAAGAAGGAATGGAGATAATCAAGAGGAGACATGACTCTTTGCTAAAGTGTACTTTGTGGCAAAAAAAGAGAATTCTATAACCCTGGACACTTGTATTAGGCTTTAAAAGCCTAAATCATCTTGCTATATGCATGCCAAGCTCAATGTACCAAATTAAAATAAAATAAAAGCATAATGCAATAAGGAAAGAAAGCTGGATAAGAAAATGTACATTACTCATAGAAAATATCAATCTTTTCAAAGAACCGTTGTCTAAATCTAGAAACTATGTCATTTAAAACTTTTTTTAAAAGGGGCATCACATTTTTTAAAAATCTTTTAAAATTTAATCATCAAGCAAAAATAACATTATTCATTCAGTAATTTGCCGTTCTGTTGGAGCGACTCAGAAACAGTCCTCAGGTGAGGGACCCATCATCATTTATCATGCCATTGTCTCCATGTTTGAAACAATGGCTCCTGAGCACAAGACAGACACTCTTTATTTTATTCATCTTGTCAGAATCTTATATCATTGACCTTGTTATTCAATTCCAAGGGGAGCCTCTTTCTGTGACATCACCACCATGAAGCCATGTGATTTCAGTCACATGATGTCAATGCTAACCCTATAGTAAAAGTCCTGTAGACTGAAGCTTAGTTGTCCCACATTACCCAAATTCACCATCTGAAAAAATAAATTCAATAAAGAGGCAGAATAGATTCTGTCTTTTTTCACTTTATTACACATTATATACACTCAAAGGTAAAGACAGAAAGTTAGAGCCCAAAAGCTTCCGCTCCTACACTTGTGCACATTTCAACAAAGCAATTCAAAGTGCTCTACATACAATACAAAAGACATCATGACAAACTGTAAAAGCAACATAATATTGTGTTTTAAGGAGCAGGTGGACCCAAAAATACAGAAGCAAAACATATAACATATAGTGTCCTTTAATTAAGGCAAGGTTGACAAAATCCACAAAGAACTCACAAGTGAAGGAGAGAGGGTGCTGACGTGAGACGGCATGAAGACAACGAGACAAAGACAAGCTCACAGACTTATATGGGGGGGGTCGATTGGACACAGGTGAAACACGAGGAACAATCACAAGGGCGGGAAACTGGACAAAGACAGGAAATCAAGGTGGAAACACACGAGGAGCAAAAGCTACAAAATAAAATAGGAAACACTGAACTCTAGACATAACTTGGACTCTTAAATGATAAGTATTTTAGTTTTGATCCTTGGACTCACTTGTCCTCTGTTTAGGTTTGTGTTGGATTTGTGTTCTCCCTGAGTTCTGAGTCATGACACATAAGACAATACAAAAAACCTTCAAAAGAAATAAAATACAAAATAAAAGAATAAATAAATAGAATAAGAAGTAAGAGAGTTACAATATAACAGTTCAGAGTAAGAAATGACTTTATTATTTATTACGTTTTAATTATTTAAGTTAGTAATTGGCCGTGGCAAAGAGGAAAGTCTTCAGAATTCATTTCAAAGAACTAAGATTTCTAAGGTTTTTTCCACAAATGTGGAGCATGAACGCTGCTGTTTAGTTTTGACTCTGGGGACAGAAAACAGAGCTGTTCCAGATGACCTGAGGGGTCTGGATGGTTCCTAAAGTAGCAGGAGATCAGAAATATATTTTCACTCTAAAACATTCAGTGCTTTATAAACCAACACTGGCATGCTCTTTAAAACAGGTCGAGGACTGGAAACCTGGAGCTGACTATATATATTTTTTTCTACAGTGTAACGTAGCAATGGTGCATTTTCTTATTTGATCGTGTGTACGTATGTAAAGTCTTCAACATAACGAGGGATAGAAAATCGAAATAATGTTCGTGTTGTGGAGAGCAGAAGTGTAATGGAGTTTAGTTTCGTTGTATTTTCTGATTTAAAATGTTCATTCATACAGTAAAGTTAGTTGATGATAGAGCTTTGAACACAATGCACTTCACGCCTCCTGCGGCTGTGTCACATCCTGTCATCATTCTATGCCCACACAGCAACACAGTGTCAGGGTCTTTTCCTGTGACCAAATACAGTAATGACAGGAGAGGAACCTTGAAGGTTAAACGTTAAGCCCCGTCACGCCCCTCCTGTGATGAAATCAATACAAGGAAAAGTCTGAATTGGTGATTAGTGATCGACTCCGACCCCAACACACCTTCATGTGATAACCCTTCAGTCAACAGTCTTTGTCTGTGACTCGCATGAACATCTGGCTTGTCAGTGGTCTCGTGGACTTTAGCCTGGGTGGATCCCCTCTTGTGTGTTGTGTCAGGGCTCATACTTCATCCTGTGGTGATGCAGTAGACCGACTGAAGAGCATTAAGTCTGACGCCAGCAGTTGTCTGCAACACATCATCCTGTGGAGATCCAGAGTCTTGTTTGAAAGGTACAGTGCGTGTTGCTTTAAATCAGTTTTCCTATACTTAGCATTTGTGCCATACAGAAATGTGTAACTCACTATAAATGTAGTTGTAGGCAGGTATAATGAGGTTTTGCAGTGTTTATGATGTTATAGTATTTATCAACCATTACATTCTCCCATATGAAAATCAGCCTC